CTACCCCAGCCCTCGATGCCACAACTCCATCCCCCCGTACCCTGGGTTGAGACATAGCGGGGTTGGCCATGGCCGTACCCTTAAGCTTCTCTATTCCAAAGTCCCTGATTTTGATTTTAGGAACAGTGCCAGCGCCGGTGGTTGCCGTCGATGGGGTGGATGTGGATTTGGATGGGGCGGGGGCGGGGATATTATCGCCATCGCCATCTCCATCTTCATCCATATTCATATCCACATCCTCATCCTCATTCTCGGCACTACCACTACTACTATCCCCGTCATCAGACTCGACATCTGTAAGATCCGTGAGGGGGGACACGTCTTTCACCCCCAGCAATCCATTTGGGGAAAAGTATTTCGATTTCCGCGGCGAAGTTTGCGCTGGCTGTGAGTTTGAGTTTGATTTTGGTGGCGATAGGGTCTTTTTTCTAGTTTCTGCTTTTTTTGAGGGTTGTTGTTGTATGTTGGTGGAGGAGCCCAGTGCTGTTTTTGGTTTTAATGGTGGTGGTGGTGGTGCTGGTGGTGGTGGGGTTATTGGTTTTGAATTATCATGACTTATGGTGGTGGTCTCGTCTTCACTTTCGGGAAGGAATCCACCACCTCCACCACCATCCTCGCAATCAGGTAAGAAACCACCACCACCACCACCTTCTCCTTCATCATCACCATCCCTAAAAAACCCACCACCAGCACCACCAGGACCACCATCAACCGCACCTCGAGCTCCCCGGCCCGGATTTAGTGGATAACTCATTCGTTCCCACCCACCATCACCATGATCATCATCTCTTAGAAACCCACCACCTTGCACCTCCTCCTCCCCCTCATCACCTCCATGCTCATTCTTCTTCTTCTCATGCCCAGAGCCTCTCGGTATCATCTTGTTATCTGTGCCAGCCTGAACATTACCATGGACATCCTCATCACCATACTCCTCCCGAATCCTCTTGACAATCCTAATGCCCATCAAAAACTTCCTCCACATGGCCAACGCCCTCTGTTCGCGCTTGGCGTCCTCCCGCCTCCTCTTCTCCCGCTCCTCCGCGGTCCATGCGTCTCGGAGGAGGTTCTCGTGTTCGGAGGGTATGACGATTCCTTCGACGACTGGGACTGCGCGTTGTTCTGTTTTTATGAGTAAAAAAAAAAAATTAGAATATGCATAGATTAGGAAGTCAAACCAATAAATATAGTGAAATGATGATGATGATGGGAGTATAAATAAAAAAAAATCAAACCTACTCTTGAACTCAAACCCCACCACAGCATCCGCATAATCAATCCCCAATTTCTTTGCAATCCTCCCGCTCCCTTTGAGGGGGAGATGAACACCCCCCGCGGGGATCATTGACGGGACATACAAGTCGCAATTACCGAATGCGTTTCGGGGGACTCTTCCGTCGACGACGGGTGGGGCGGTGTATAGTTTTGTCTGCTCAAAACTATATAACCCTTGAAGGATGGGGTTATTTTCTGCCTCGGCTTGCTCCAATTCGCGTTTTCGGGTGAGGGTAACGGCGCGGGTTTTGACCCGTTTTAGAGGTTGTTGGCCTTCCTATTATTATTGTTATTAATTGTATTGACATTATAATTACATGTTGATCAGATCTCTCGAGGTCCATGGAGTGTGCTGTAGATTTAAATAGAGGGATGTAGATAAATACCTTGACGACCCTTCCTTCCTTGTACCAATTCTCTGTGGCCTTGCAAATCACAACATCTTTCCGTCGATACACTTTATCTTCTTTGGCCTTATCGCCTTTCCCAAATGTCACGCTCTTGATATGCGTTTTTCCTGGCTTGATGGCTTCTTCTCGTCTAAGATGTCGTTCGAGAACAAAACTTAAGATGGAGATACAATATTAGCATAATCCCCTTCATGTCTTCTTTCATATATATCCTTCTTCTATACGCATAAAAAGAAGGGGCGAGGAAAAAAACATACTCTGGATGATTCTTATACCCCGCAATACTATCCAAATTCGGCTTCTTCTCCTCCTTCTCCACCGTCTTCCCGACTAACATATCATCCTCCACACGATCACTCTCCGCCTTTGCGTTCTCGGGCCTCACATACGACCTCAACACCACACGGAACCAATCATATCGATGAGCCTTCACCACCTCGCCTCTCGAGTTTTTGATTGCGTAGATTTTAGGCTGGACTCGCGCGCCCCTTGTTTTCCCGGGGAGGGTGTTTTTGGTGAGATATCGGACCGTGACGTCTTTGGCGGTGTAGTCCGAGGAGTATGCGATAACGTAACTTATCCCGAGCTTTGCGGCCTGCGCGAGTTTACCCCGGGGCTCGAGGCTGGGGAAGGTGTCTGGGCGGAAGAAGAGTTGTTTGAGGACGATGGCGTCGATGGCCACCCAGGTTTTACTTTGGGGACAGTAGACTTCTGACCAGAAGATGGGGTAGGGGAGGTCTTTGTCGAAACCATTATTTTCTGAGATTAAAAAAAGAAAAAAAAAGAGAGGTTAGGTTAGTAGGTTGGGGTTCAATTCCAAAGAGGGGGCGGAATCGATGGAATAGGGATAATATCCTTACTTTTTAGAGTGTTACCAACGGCTTCTTTGCTTTCCTCATAGCTCTCATCCTCCACAAATTCCTCCTCAGACTCGACTTCCTCGTCATTGACATTTCCCTTCCTCTTCTTTCTTGAGGGTTCACCGTCCTTCTCTTTCTTCCCCTTCTTCGGCGTCTTGGTCTTCCCATTCCCACCCCCAACCACCCCATCTTTCTCTCCTCCCTCCCCCCCCTCCCCACCATTCCCATTCCCATTCCCATTCCCACCATTCCACCCCGCCATCTCACACCCCAAAAACCCAAACCCCAACGGCTGCAGCGAAAACACCAACCTCACCTCCCTCGCCACCCCCAACGCCCTCAACAACGCCGTAAACAGCTGCGCACCAACATCCCTACTCCCCTCCAGCCTCCCCGCAACCTCCCTAAACTCCTTCACCCCCGCGATCCTCTCCCCCGAATAATAAACATCGTCTCTTCTAGCGCTGGAGGAGGAGGTGATTTCACTCATGGTCATGTACCCCCTCTTGCGTAGACCAGGACACGTGATTTTGAATCTCGATTTCCAGAAATGCATGAGGGTTCCTAGGAGGGGGATGAGGGGGTCTGTCGAGGGGGAGGAGGCCGGAGGTTGGTTATCGAGATTACTCATTTCATCTTGATCTTCATCTTCATCCTCATCATCTCTTGTGGGTTTTTTCTTCTTTTGCTTTGCCGGGGCTTTCCCCTTCCCCTTCCCCTTGCCGCTCTTTGGGTTTTTGTTGCTGTTATTTTTGCTCTCATCTTTCGTAGTATTATTACCGGTAGAATCACCATTACCATTACCATCACCACCACCACCGCCCCACCCAGGTGTATACCTCCGATGATACTTCTCCACCTCACCCATCACCCCCCTGGGCACATGGCTGAGCAATATCCCCTGAACCTCCGCATCGCATAGCCACGAGTTCCTTGTAAAACCTATCTCGTGATATTATTAATTAGTTTGTAGATCTTTGTTCAAGTCACTTTGCTATCTTCTTCCTTTCAGAAAAGATTATGGGGATTTTGGGAGAGGGAAGGGGTGGGTCGAGGATGGATAGAAAATCGATAATTCTTCGAAATTCCCACCCATAATCATATAAACTCACCATGAAACAACAAACACTGGACATGGAGCATATGCGCCGTCAACCGAATCTGCCGGTCCACCGCCGAAGCACCTTTCTTGCCTGACCTATATCACACACACACACACACACAAAAAACCGATTAATCCCCATTCATGGACACCCCTAGATCTTCCCCCTTCTAAAGGGAATAATAGAGTGAAAAGGGGGAAGGGGGGACGGATATATCTATACCCACGTCAACGGAACCATCTTATTATTCTGCTCAATCTCAACCACCAGATCGCCAGCATCTTTACCCTCCTCCTCCTCCTGACGCTTCATGAACTCCAGGACGCGCGAGTCGGGGAGACAGTTTTCCCAGGATTCTTCTCCGGAGTCGTCGTCGTCTGAGGTGTCTTCTTCTTCATCGCTATCTTCTTCTTCATCGCCATTTTTGCCACCATTGCTTTCGTTGTTGTTGTTGTTGTTGGAGGGAGTGTCGTTGGGTTTGGGTTTGCTGATTCGTGATGCCGCTGATGCCGATGATGATGATGCTTGAACATCTATATCCATCACATCTTCGAAATCCTCCTCCTCCTCCTCCTCCTCCTCCTCCTCTTCCTCGATCACTTCCCTCTTAACCTTCCCACCCCCCCTTCCCCTTGCACTCCTACCCCCTCTCCCTCTCCCTACGCCTCCCTCTCTCTTACGTTTCGGCGGCATATCCGTGCGAGTACCGGGTATGTTTGTTTATATCTTGCGTACCCAAGTACCTATAAACCGTACCTGCAGTGTCGTATCTCCAATAGAAGCAAGCTATTACCTACCTAAAGTGGCGAACGCCGTTACCACACTCACTCTCGTATATCCTAACTCCGGCGCCGGAACCACAAAAAATCGATGTTGGCACGCGCTGGGTGTACCTAGGTAGGTAGGCAACTCTAGACCAAGCAATGTATGTACCTGGCGAGCTACCCAGGCCTAGGTAAGGAATGTCGTAATCGAATAATATTAGAGTATTCCTGGAGCTTCTTCGAATCCGAATTCGTCTGTCTCACTTCCCCATTCCATTCCAAATTCCAAAGAATTTATTTAATGCACTTACTCACCTACTTCTCCCCATGGCAAAACATACATACATACATACTCCCTTTCCCCCCCCCTCCCCTCCCAACTCCAACTCCCCCCAAAATCCACCCGACATCGCGCCCCCCCCCCCCCCCCGCCACCACGCGTCTCCACGTGAACCACTTTAACCACTTTAACCACCCTACCTACCTTCTCCTTGGCGCGCGGTAGGGGTAAAGCACCACCTGCTTCTTCTCCGATCTTCCCGCCTCCCGTCAAATTCCCCCCCCAGTCCTATCAACACATGAAAAGGCGCCCTGATGGTCTAGTGGTAGGATTCTCCCTTCGGGTTTTCACACAATCCCGAACTTGATTACAAGAGTTCGAAATTGGGAGAGGTCCCCGGTTCAAATCCGGGTTAGGGCCCAATCTTTTTTTTGGTTTAATTTAATTTTTGTTTTAATATATATTTTTTTTTGGAATGGCGCGTGAGGGATAATTATGTAAGTAAGTAGTAACTTATAAATACATATACTCTCGTTCTTTTTCTGTTTTCGTGACCTTATTTTATTATCCCCTTACAACACGAAACAGTGGAAAATTTGAGTGCCGGTGGAAATTATGCAGTTCTTTGCAACTCTTGAGTTCTTCTTGTCTTTTCATGATCGATTTGGTTTAGAGGGCAGTGTCAGATCTTGAAGGATCACAGACCACTTTAATCCCAGTTTTATGCAATAATTTCCTGTCTCCACCGGCACTCAATTTTCCACTGTTTCGTGTTGTAAAGGGTCATCATGAAGTATGTATGCCTCGTGCGCATGCTCTGACAGCCGCAGGGTCGTTGGTTACCCTGATCATGGGCCAGCGATAGTATTTAGACTCATCGAAATATCACACATTATGAGTTCACTGTAATGGTAGAAGTGAAAGTAAGGCCTATGACCGTATTCGGACTGACTCTTGATAGTGCTATGGCCAGAAAGACAACGTAAAGAAAAGAAAAATTACAAATGAATAAATACTTTCAAAGAAAAAAAAAATGTAAATTACTTCCAAAACCATGGCAATAACCAAAAGCTACCTCATTTTGATTATCCTTCAAACATCCATTAACACACACACTCCCCCCATAATCACATCAAAACCCGCACCCCCCCTCCTCCTCACCAATCACCCATCGATACCTAGGTATCTCCCATTTTGCCAAAACAACATGTTTTTTTAAATCAACAAAACGCCAATGTGCCTTTCGCGGTTTCCCCTTTCTTTCAAAAAATCAGCAGCGTTAACCAAAAATACTGAAACAAACAATACCAATAACATTTCCATCAAAAAGATCAAGATCAACAGAAAAGAATAAACTTCAAATCATAAATAGTCGTGGGACACATTTCAAAAAAAAAAACACAAGAAAAAGAAAAAAGCAGATATAAATTAAGAATGGACCCAGAGGGCTGGGGTGGAGGGCTGGCCATGATGATACTCGACTGGACAAAAAAAGTTATTGTGCAGGGTAAGGTACTGAAAAAAGAGAAAGAGAAAGAGAAAGAGAAGAGTCGAGTAAAAGGGGTACGAGACCAAGTAAAAGCAGAAACAAGTGGGCAAGGGTTAACGTTCGAAATCAAAAGAAGAAAAAAAGAAAAAGAAAACTCCGTAGCAAAATGATCAGCTAATGTAGGAAAAGGGTCCAATGGTTATGGATGCTATTTGCTATCCTCGTAAAAAAGAGGATGCTACCAAATTCGAAGAGCCAAGGCGCAACAAGTTATGGCCTATCTCATCTTCATACACGGAAATACTTTTCTTTCCGAGATGTCGATTTTGTACTCGACAATTCCTTTATGCGTTGCCACATAGCTGCAATTTGTTAGCTGATATGTTTCGTAGTAAAGGGGAAAGGAATGAGCTCACAGTTTGCTACCATCCACGCTCAATGTACATCCGGTAATATTAACAACGTCGTCTCCATCTCCATCGGCTGCATCATGCTCAGTGGTCTCAGGGACACGAGGATTGGCAGCAACAGGTAGGAGTGGGACGACTCTAGTCACAAGTGCCTCGTTCTGAGACGAGCGCCTTCTCCTTCGATCTTCAGCAATCATCAAGCTTAGCTGTTCATTATTACGCTGTAGTTGATGTATTTCTTCGATTGGCCGGCGTTGTGCTTCATAGTCAACTCTCCAGTGAGCAGGCCGCGTGGTAGCTGACTGACTTGGTGCCTGTGGATCTCTGTTGATAGTGGGTGGGATGATAGTCGTTGTTGCTGGCGGTGTTGGATTGAAAGCAACCTGCTCAATGGACTGTGTTCGTCTAAGTGGGATCTCAGCCATAAGTTGCCTTATTCGGTCACGCTCACGCGCTGCCAATTGGCGTTCTCGATGGTTGTGAAGAAGGCTCAATGATACAGAAACTGAATGTGGCGTATCTTCACGTGCAGTACCTGCATTTGGCGAAATGGTGGATGGCAAGGAAACTACAGCAGTGGCGACAGCGGAAGTATTTCGCATAAAATATCGAGGGTGCATATAATTGATGGGTGCTGTCGTTCCTTGGGTATGGACGTGATTTAGAAGAGTATTTGTGTTTTGATTTGTTGTTCGGCCGACTATTTGCCCACGAAAATAATTTTCCATTTCATCATTGAGAGCATCTTCAATAGGGCCACCTGTCTCTGTGCCTGTCCTGCTCCGTTGACCTGATATCCGGCCTGATTGGCACCCATCATCATCTGAAACGCCCAGGACTTCAACAACATTTGGTGCCTTTTCTTCCCCAAGGACATCGATAATTTGGCGCTTGTTGAAATTTGACCTTGAGTCTGCAATGCTGATCCTGCCGGAATGCTCCGCCCAAACCAAGAGATCCCAGGGCGCAGGGGAAAACTGCACACTCCTGACGGCCCCAGCAAATGTTTGTGGTCGGGAAGATGGTATCGTTTTGATTATGGCACAATTCCCTTTGCGAGTGCGTGAGTTCAAATATCGAGTGTCGAATATTGTGATGGAGCCGTCCTGGGACGCCACAGCGCACATGACAGATGATGGAGAGAAACTGGTGGAGATTAATGCAGGCATAGTTCCAGCTGTCAATGGAGTATCCGAGGAGAATGTCCAGGATTCTCGTCCAGCTTCTCTATTTGGTGCAGTCTCTGATGAGGAGTGGTAAAAGTATACCTCTGTGGAGTCACCAACCACAACAAGATTCTTTCCGTCCGGCGATATCGATGCGTGGTTTGTTGGAATTGGAAGGTGTAGGGTTGTCTGAACTCTGTTGTGTACTAGGGATAATATTCGTACGGTTTGGTCATTATTACTTGGTGATTCAGATTATATTAGTACTGGGTGCATTCAACGGCTTGAGGATAGAGCACATACGTGAGAATAGCCAGTATATCTTGGTCAGCGTTGGGCCCTGGTGGCCGGTGGAGGGTGATGGAGTTGACAATGAGGCCCCCTAGCTCGCTGACTCTGACATCTGCTCTTGCTTCCTCGCATCCATTTCTGGCAGGCAAGGGTCGACCATCATCTCCAACACGGATAGCCGCAAACTTTCCATTATCACTGCCACCTGCACACACCCATCCGTATTTCGCCCCAAGGCATATCGGGGCAAATGGTAGCGATGCTACAAGCACACGTCTTCGGGTTGCCGTGTTCAGGGAGTAGATGTTGTTGCCGGTGGGATAGAAGAGAATGTCTTGCGCCGGGGAGCATAGCAGAGATCGAAGTTGCCAATGCCTAGGCCGTCTACATGAGCAATGGAGCCTCAGAGGAGAGAGGTGACTTACTTGTCGGGTATCTTTGCATGATAGAATGAGAGTGGGGACGGGAGGATCAACGAGCTATACTGACTTTATGCGGAGGAATGTCAGCGAATGCTTGTTTAGCGATTTCAACTATGGATGCCACTCTCAGCACTTACACGGGGTCGTCAATCGTCATGATATTGGACTTTCCACGCACATGGTACAATACGACTTGATTTCCTTGTAGGTATTGCTTCCCTCGAAGCTTGCTCGGAGCACACTTGTATGGATCGATGATGGGGAATGGGAGCTCGGAGAAGAGGTGCAACGGTCGAGACGAGAGTGAAAGGACCTGGACTAGATGCAGGTTGGATATAATCGGCTGGAGAGGTCCTTGTGTAGCAGGAGGAGGAGGGACGAGCGTGTGTGATGTGAAGCTTGGTGATCGTCGTTGTCGACTTTAAAGGCTGTAGGGGGTGCAGAAGTGGCACATTTACTTGGGTGGGGATGGCTCTAGCCCAGGCTCCGCCGGAGGAACTGGATGCTTTTAGGCGGCCTTGAGCTGGAGCTTGTGGGGGGCTTTGGGGAAGGGCGGAGGGCGGATCAGAGGGCAAATGGGGGAGGTGGGCCAGCCACAGCTGCAGCACTGGCAAAGCACGCTGGGAGCTGGGCACCACACTTGCGAGCTGTCTCGTGCGGCAGGCCGAGCTCACGAGCTCGCAGCTGGGCTGTCCATTGACCGTCGTCCAGAGCGTCTTGTGCCATATGGCCACACATGGATGGTGTGCGGAGTGCATGCAGTGGTCGTGCCACCGCCCATCCGCCTCTCCCTCCTCTCCTCGATCTGCTCTACCCGTGCTCTACTGTGCTGTGGAGGCTACGGGCACTGCTGGTCGCCATCGCAGTCCCTCGACTGGGCGTGCGCATGGCAGCATGCGTGTGCAGGCGACCGGCAGCGGCCCTTCGAGACTGGGCGGGCCAGCATGATACTGCATGGATGGGTGGATGGACGGCCAGTCGGGGGAGCCGCTCGTCGCCTCTCGCCATGGAGTCGCCTCGCGATCGCTGTCAGCCGGCCGTGGTCTCGTCGTCTCGTCACCCAGCAGAAGAGCAAGCAGGCCGTGGACACTCACGGCGCATACAGACATGCGCCATGCGTCACAACCAATGCCACGCCCCAGCCAGGCTTAAAGTAAGCTTATACAAAAGTGTCCGGACGGGGAGCCTGGCAATCGTGGTCGCTGGTTGGGCACGTCACCGCCATTCAGGGCGCGGGAGCAATGTTTATTGAATGTTTCGTCTGGTTCTTCGGGTGATTATTGCATTTAGAGAAGAGTTATTGCATTGATGCATGGAGCTCCGGAGGTCGAAGATTCGAGGGCCTTGAAAATCGCAGTTGATGCCATGCCAGTGGAACATTTAAATCCATACTGACGGTACTATATCTCGGAACACTATCCCTTGCAATTATCATAGTACAGGCGGCAGTACTTTAGGTAATCCCGATACACTACAGGTATAGAGTACGGCGGGTCGGTACCGGACGGATCAAGTCTGCACTCGTGTATGTACGGCAATCTTGGGGGCCACAGCTGCAGAGACCGGTACTTGAGGTACTTTGTATGCATGGCCCAGGTATCGATGTGAAAATATTCCGTGGCCATGGAATCTTGGTAAATAA